AAGCGCCGACAGCATGTCATCCACCACCCTCCGGTGACGAGTTGGACAAAAAACAAAATTTGAATCAAAATAAAAGTAATCTAGCTTAGCTTAACAGGTTGTTTATGCAAACAATAGTGACGGCAACGAACGGCGGCGATGTTATGGGCGGTGGCTACGAGGAGAGAATCACACCTTGTTTTAAAAACTTAAGGTTTTCTAAATAGGAGTTATTATTTGAACTAATTATAAAAAACTAATATTAAAAAAACAGTTTAATTAAAATTGTAATTTATTTAAAATTACAATTACATTTTTAACTAAAATATAATTATACTTTCAGTACCTTATAATTTTATCATTTTACAATTTAATTTATTGGTGCTCATCGTTATCGCCGCTCATTGAGCGCACATAAGTCTCCTGAATGGTAAGAACACAATTTTTTTAAAAATATTTATTACCTATATGGTAGGTATATGTTTTTAGGAATTGGTCTATAAATTTGAAATAAATTCTAAGTCAGATCCAAATTAGAATTTAATTTCTGAAATGACAGTTCGACCTAGGAAAATGCATGATTTATGATTTAAGAATTCAAATATAATTCTTTAAAATTTAAGGATCAATCTAAAATCATGATCATAATTTGGGGTGTTTCGTGATATTAGCCCTTAAAAGTTGTTCAAAACCCTCAAAGATGTAGGTATAAATATAATGCCAGAAAAAATTTAATAATGTTTGATTAAAGTATTTTTTTCTTGTATTTTTTCTGAAATATTTTTACCTTCAACGTTTTATTTTAAGACAAAAAAAACCTTATAATATTTAATCAAATAGTCACTTTAACCTTTATTATTCTTTTAAATCATTTTGGTCTCAATATTTCATTTTAGAGAAAAAAAACTTTATTTGGGGATATTAAATGTTTATTAAATAATGATTTTCATCCACATAAGAATGCAATTGCCACCAAAATGCCCGTTCCTCGATCTGATATCAAGAAAAATTCATCATCTCGAATGAAATATTGACGTAGATTGGTCAAAAAGAAATCTCAAGCCTCTGATATCTATCCTTCAACAATTTACGAATGCAACTGAGAAGATATTACATTCACATCTTTTAAAGCTTTTTGGTCTCAGTATTTCATTTTAGAGAAAAAAATCTATTTAGGGATATTAATAGTTTGCTAACTAACGATTTTCATCCACATAAGTATCTTTTTTACTTTAAAATTAAACATTGAAAGTCAAAATACTCTGAAAAATAAAATTCTAAAATAACTATTCGATCAAATGTTAAGAATATTTTTTTTGTCGATATGCGAAAGATATATTCATTGTTTGGGTTTCTAAAAGCATCCATGAGTTATGAATGACAGATCAAACCCAATAGCTTTTCTTTTTAGGTTAAGTTGATTTAACCAAGCCTAATCCAGAAACCATAGCCCATATCTAATATTTCCAATTAAATGGGTATTTTATCTCAAAACCGGTGAAGAATTGCCGATTGGAAGTGGGTCCTGGCAGTATAAAGCTACCTATATGGTTCACACATTTGTCAGCAACAAGGAGATAAGCAAAGAACCAGCCAACCGGAAGCTTCAAACACGCAAACCAAAGAAGAAAACAAACATAGAAAGGATCAAAGGAAAAGAAGAAAAAAATGGTTCAAGCAATCTCAACTTCATCTTGTTGCAGTATCCTCTTCTCAAAATCCCACCGCTCGATCTCTCCTCTTTCTCCTCACAATCTGCTCCGTTTCAACCACAGAATCCCCGCCGGTCTTCAATGTAAAGCGGTGGAATCTCCATTGCCAGCAACAACAGTGACACCAGTCCAGAACAAGGAGCCAAAGAAAACCCAGTTTGCACTCGAGAATCTAACCTCATGGCTGTTGAAACAAGAACTAGCAGGCAACATAGACGCCGAGCTCACTATTGTTTTATCGAGCATCTCCTTGGCCTGTAAACAGATTGCTTCTTTGCTCCAAAGATCAAGCATCATCAACCTCACCGGCGGCCAGGGCACTGTCAACATCCAAGGTGAAGACCAGAAGAAGCTGGACGTTATATCCAATGAGGTTTAGTCCAAGTTTTTATCATTACCCTTTGTTTCCAATTATGTCGTTTTGTCGTTGTATTCACCAATCCAAAGTTCAGTTGTTCTGCAACTGCCTAAGATCAAGTGGACGAACGGGGATCATAGCATCGGAAGAAGAAGATGTACCGGTGGCGGTTGAAGAAACATATTCAGGGAACTACATTGTGGTGTTTGATCCTGTTGATGGATCAGCCAATATTGATACTGCATTGACAACCGGATCGATCTTTGGCATATATGGCCCCGACCAGCAATGCCTCATCGATCTCGATGATACCTCCATGGTAATCCTTTCATCTCTGATGTCTAATCTATGTCAACAACACAAGTAATTAGCATAAATTACCTGTAGTTTTATATGCTACAGCTGCAACTAAACAGTAAAATTGTGGAATGGAACTGCAAAAAAAAATTACTACCAAGTACCTAGATGCTTATTTCTAGGCTTTTTTATTCAAATATGCCACATCTAGGTATAATTTACCATTTTAGCACACATTCCACGCGAACTAAGCTACCTAATGGGTTGAAAGAATAGTTGTCAGAATGCGCTTTCGCAGTAAGTGCCTTCCGCTTACATGCAGATCTGAGCAAAATTCGACTCAACTCGAAAAATTGATTTTTTTACACGATTTGAATTGACTTCAAGTTGTAATATCATAAACTCGACTTGACTCGAAAAAATTTCAAATTCAAATCGAATTGTAAAATACAACTCGAAGAACTCAATTTTTTGTAATTAGTAGATTGATTTTCAAGTTTGAGTCGAGCCTCACTTTGTATGGTATATGTAAATCATATATGAAAAGAATATGAAAAAATATATATGTATTGTATATGATTATAAAATACTATTTAAATTAGAATCAAATAATGTCATAATATTGTAAATATTTACAATTAAACTTAAATAGGAACTCGAAAATTTGACTCGAGTTGACTCGATTCAAATTTTTAAAAATCGACTCGACTTGAAAAAATTTCAAGTCAACTCCAAGTTATAAAATAGGACTCATCGACTCGAATAACTCGAAATGGTTTGACTCGACTCGATCGAGCGCTCACCCCTACTTACGTGGCACAAAAAGATCAAAACTCTTTTAGTTAAACTTAAATGAAAGAAAAAGAAAAATAGGGTCAAAAAATGAAAGAAAATTATGCGAATTTTATTCAAAATGAATAAGTGTGTTGTGTGTCGAAGATACGTAATTGCACAAACATAAGCACGAGTTAGGTCGGACGACGACAGCTATTCACGCGTATCAACCTATATTGTTTAAATATGTTAGATTTTTAGTGTTTAAATATAACATTTTAAATTTTTATTTTTTAAGTGATTAAACATAAGACTAATACACGCGTGTCCGTCGTGACCCGACTCGTACTCATGTAATTGCATGTCTTAATGGTTTCAACTCGTTTGCACTACAGCTAGATCAAGCAAGAGAAAAATGCATCATCAATGTTTGCCAGCCAGGGAAAAACTTATTGGTTGCAGGCTATTGTCTATACTCAAGCTCTGTAGTCTTCACTGTTTCCTTAGGCAAGGGGGTGTTTGCATTCACCCTAGATCCCACTTATGGTGAATTCGTGTTAACGCATGAGAACATCAAAATACCTGAGGCTGGTAAAATTTACTCTTTCAATGAAGGAAATCATGACCTTTGGGATGAAAAACTGAAGAACTACCTCGGTCACATTCGGAAACCGGGATCCGATGGCAAACCTTATTCGGGCCGCTACATCGGTTGCCTTGTTGGTGAAATTCATCGAATGCTGCTTCGTGGAGGTATCTATGGCAACCCTAAGAACAAGAACAGCAAAAATGGAAATCTGAGACTGCTATATGAGTGTGCACCTATGAGCTTTTTAATAGAACAAGCTGGTGGCATTGCAATAGATGGAGAACAAAGAATTCTTGACATTATACCTGAGCAGGTAATAACTTGACCCTGATCCATATTGACTTATCCAATTTATGTATGAAGTAGGGTTGTAAATGAGAATGAGACATACCGCCAACTATTAAGCTAGATCTATATTGACTAGAGGATTAACATTCGAATTGAATGGACCTGAATCGAATTCTTAACGAACAAAAGTGAACTACTTCGAAAAACTCATAAGCAACTCGAAAAAATAATATATTATCATTTATATGTTGTTTTATTAAAATACAAGACTTTCATGTCTTTAAGATTCTAGTTTGAAGTCAAATTCAAGCTAGAATTGAACTTGAGTTTGAATTTCAATCAAGTTAACTCCAAGAATGTTTCGAGTTAAAGTTTTCAGGCTTGAATTGAGTTCAACTTTTTATTTCTAGTCGAGCCTGAAGATTTTAAGCTCACGAGTTTTCAAATCGAACTTCAATTTTTTATTTCAAGTTCAAGATGAGCTAAAAATTTTAAGAACTTCAATGTGAACATGAGCATGTCCTTGCTCTGGACAAGCAAAGAACAATACAAATCAAGCATTGGTCATTCATGGTTTTGGCATGTTACATTGGCAGGTACCCCAGCGTACACCAATTTTCCTTGGAAGCCCAGGTGAAGTTCAGAAACTACAGAAGTACTTGGCTTGAGGCCCAAAGTATGAGTTTCAACTCTTTTGCTTGCTAGGAGCATATTTCGAAAACACAAGAATGACAAGAGAGGTTTTCATTTAAAGAATAACATGATTAGACAATCAAACTACTATCAGCAGCCTCCATGGTATCCTTAGTATCCTACTACTTGTTTAAATTTTTAAAAAAAATAAACATTTGGTTAACAATTCTTTAAATTTGTACTTGTTGAGCATCATATGTTGCACAAATTCCGAATGGAAATCATATTGGCCCATCAATGGAAAGCATTTCAAACATAACTTAATCTTTACAGAAATGTGTTGTTGAGCCATTGCTCGCAGTGAGTGTGGTCAGTTTGGAGCAGGATAATTTTGTTGCTCCAGAGAATTCCTTTGACCTTTTGCTGCAAATTCAGGTAAAAATGAATATAGAGAAATAGTAACTCACAAAATGAGAAGAGTAGAAGGATACAGTATTTTACCAGGACTCAATATTTTTATGCATTTTGTTATAGACTTCACTGATGTAAGGGTGCTGGCTCCTGCAACCAATAGCACAAGCAGAGAGTAAGCATACAAATATCAGTTTCGAAGCAATTGAATTATGCAGGAACTCAGGCAGTGAGCTTTGCCACCTTTTGCATTCATGTTATTCTCCGAAAGCACTTCTGTGACAGTAGATGAAAACTTCGACATTACTTGATTAGCCCCCAGATTGTCATCCCCGGATTCATGAGATGACCTGTTAGTCATGAATGAATATAAACATCAGTGAAAAATAACTACCTGAAACTAGTGAAGAAATAAGTGGAGAAACTAGTGAAGCAGAACCAATACCCTGAAAGTGCAGCTCCAGAAGTACCCAATGTTGGTTGGCAAGGGTAGCCAAATCCATCAGATCCGAGATCAAGATCCACTAACAGTTCCGAGAAGGAGAAATTTTCCCCTAAAGCATCTAAATTTGGCAAATCCAGATCAAAAAGATATGCATCCATTTCAGACTCGGATGTTGAAATCTCGTTGACTATTGGTTTGTCCACCTGCAATGTTGTATCAGAACCATCAAAGTCCAGCCTGCTCTTTACATGATCTCTCTTACCAACCCTCTTCAAGCATGTCTTAACTGGTGAACAAGAGGAGATGCAATGATTTCTCTCAATGGTGTAACATGTCATTTGCTTTAAAGGGCTAACTGTAACTCTCTCAGTTGAAATTATGGTGCAGTTAGTAGGAGTGATCTCTTGAGGAGTAACGTTGTGACTGCAGTTAGCAGTTGAAACACCTGGTGGAGTCATTGATTTATCACTCTGAGGGGAAACTGCTCGTGGGGGTGTCTTAGGACCTGAAGAATTAGTTGGAGGGGGATAGCTGTGTCTGATTGAACAAACACTTTGCAACACCAGATACATGCATTGTCGTTGTTGAATCATTTAGTGTGCAGCAGGAAGGTGTTGATTCGTTTAAAGTGCTGGACTGACCAGCTACTTGTCTGTTCATTACATTAGCAGACTCTGGAAGCTTTTGATTTCCTGCAACAAACATGCCAGGGATGATGTTATGGCTGTATCAAGGCATGAAACGAAATATGATCAAGGCAATAAAGTCTACCCTGCATAGGTAACTTCCTAGAAGCTAATTTGTTGCGAGATTTCTTTGCAGCTGCTGGGGCTTCAGTGACGGCCTCCAAGCTCCTTTTATTCCTTGTTAATGACCGACTTATAACCGGCGAAGAGTAGTTATTTCTCTCCATTCTGGAATTAAAAGGACCAGATATTGGAATAACAGTCGGAGTACTGTGAGGACCTAAAACAAGAACATCCAGAAAATACAAGAATCGTTTAGTAAAGAGAACATACGAGGTGTGCATAAGAATATTTAGATCACATGCCATGATTTGGTATTATTATCATGAACTAATTTTCAAGTAGAAATGGAACTACAACTGTAAAATCTCCAGATGATTATAAAATACAGAAGTTTAATATAAGGCTAAAAAAAGGTAATATTCAGTTGTGATCGAAAAATTTATCAAGAATGTAACTTTTTAAAATAATACAAGTGATACTTTAGATTGAAACCTAAAATATTATGTTATCCATAAGAAACTATGTAAATTGCATGACTACTCCGGTTGCAACTTAAAAAGGTTGTAACCAAAATTATTATCAATTGTATAACTTTTAAGAGTAGACGTATAAACATTTTAGATTAAAACATGTCGCAATTTAACATTATCGATTGTAACCAAAATTATTAACAATTGAATAACTTTTTAGGTCTAATAAACTAACAATTTAGATTAAAATTCATCACTGGATTAGGCCATCACACAGTAGAACTACCCAACATCTCCTAGAGCTACTATCAATTGGAAACCAAAACATTTAGCAAAAACAAATTGCCACATGCAAGTATGCAACCAATTCCAAATAATCCCCATACTAACACTACGTACATCTAATCAAACTATAATTTAGAGGGGGGGAAAACCAATGGCATCTAAATTCGATAAGCAATTCCTTCAAAGGTATCTCATATTTCACTACGTCAACAGCTCAAGGCTAAAGTAAGAGTTAACATGATTACGACCAATTCTAATACAATTAACCACCCAGAGCTCAATATTTGTACCTGGGGAAGATCCAACTCGTGGATCTGATTGAGGAACCACCGGTATTGTTTTAGTTGCATTTACATGAGGAATCATAGGCACTGATGCAGTGGCACTCGCATTGTAAGCGTTCATTACGCTTTGCATTCCCTGCAAAAGGGACTGAACCCTGCATTTCTCTTGCTCCAAACGAGCTCTTTCCTGCTCTACAAACACCTTCTGCTCTTTCAAACAAATATACTCATCTAACATCGCCCCCAAACTTAACAAACTCTTCGGAGCCTATCACAAAATAAACAGTAGCAATTCAAAACAAAGGACTATGGATAACAATTTCAGAAGAAGAAAAAAATAAGGAATTGGGTTAATCGGGTGGTGGTATGTACCTCTCGAACAGGGGATTTGGAGATGAGAGAAGAAGCTTCGTTTCGGAAAGTGGAACGAGTCTCGGAGTAGTTGTTATCGGCAAGGTAGCGATCGACGATGAAAGCGACTTGAACGGGAGTGACTTTCCCTTTGCCCAGATTCTCTGGTTTCTTCGATCTGCTTTGCTTCCCCATTTTTCTCCCTTGGAAGCGAAAAGCAAGACGGAGATAGAAGAATCGTAGAGAGAAAGTTATGGCGAGGGAATTTCAGGATGTCCTAAAGAGAGATTGGGATCAAGAGAGGGAAAGTGCGGTGAAGTGGCGCCATTGATAGGGGTGAAATAAAATAAACGCGGCAGATTTTGAAAAAATTTTGGATCAAAAATTACAACGATTCTCAATTTGGTAAAGGGTAAACTACAGGTGACCACCAAACTAAGTTCATCAACCATTTTGACCACTAAAGTTTGAACCCGATCAATCACACCACCCAACTATTTAAATAGTTCAATTAAACTACCGGCCGTTAAATTTTAACAGAGGTGATGACATGATAGTTAATAAAATTGATATAATTATATATTTGTTTCTTAATATTTATACATTTTATCAATTTAATCACTATTTTAATTCAATTAAATAAATTTAACCCTCCAATCCAGACGTACCACGTGCCACCACCTGTGTAAAGTAAAACATATTGGAATAGAAGTGCATTTGGGTGGATTCAATCCTTGGGCAAGCTTTTTCCATTAGGCCAAAGCCATGTGTTTGGGGCGTTTTTCCTAAAAAATCACCGGTGACCGTTATATTTATCGATCAGACTATATTTCTCGATCTAACACCCTTAGCAGTAAAGCGCGCCCCCTGAACGCGCTATATGTTGATTTGGCGCCACGTGGGGTAAGGCGCGCCCCTTGCACCGCGCTATATGATAACATGGGATATACGTGGGTATAGCGCGGATCAGGGGCCGCACCTTACCTATGTATCTACCACGCGTCAGAAAGGTGCGCCAACTGCCCCGCGCTATATGTTTAATTACCCCCATACTCCGACGCTTCACACCCCAATCCTCCCTATAAATACCCCTATCCTCAATCACTTTCATCACACCAAATTCTCTCAATTTCTCTCAACTTCTCTCAAATACTCTTATATTCTCTGTTTAAGGTATATTTTATTATATTTTTAATATTTTGTATTTAATTTATTTAAGTATTTTAATTTATTTAATATTTTACTTATATAATTTTTTTTGCAGATATATAATGGAAGGCGGTCTACTTCGCTTGGATGGAAATCATATATCTCGACACTTCGTTGATACGGTAACATTTTAACGTTTTAATTTAATTTAAATTATTAGTAATAATTTGTTGATTTATTTAATGCATGATTATTAGATTAAGAATTAATTTTTGTAATTATTTATTTTTAGGAGAAGGACCGTGTATTAGATCATTTTATTAGGAACCTTAAGTTAGTGATACCTAGCTGTGTCTTACCATATTTAGTAGAGGCTGGATTTGGTTACATAGGTAGATATCAGGGTCACTTTAAGATAGAACCAGACCTTATCTCTGCCTTAGTAGAGCGGTGGAGGCCGAAGACCCACACATTCTATCTTCCGTGCGGAGAGTGCACGATTACACTTGAGGATGTTCCTATGCACCTGGGGTTTCCGGTGGATAGGGATGTTATATCAGGGGTCATTCAGGGTTCGTGGACTACTTTATGCAGGGAAAATCTAGGACGTGTCCTGGAAAGTTTTAACGGTGGTCGTATACCGTTAAATTGGTTAGATGCGAATTTTCGGGAGTTGAGCGAGGACGTGTCTGAGGATGAAGTTAAAATATATGCACGGGCTTGAATACTACAATTGATAGGAGGGTTGCTGATGCCGGACAAATCGCGCAACCAAGTTCACTGCATGTGGTTGCGACATCTGAGCGACTTTCATCTGGCCGGATCATTCAGTTAGGGCTCGGCAGTTTTGGCTTTGATCTACAGGGAGATGTGTCGAGCCACTGACTACAGGCGTAATGCTATCAGCGGATGTCTCCTGCTGCTGCAGTCTTGGGCATGGTATCGATTGCCCTTTTTATGTCCCGTTGTGAAGAACCCATTTATATTTCCACTACTCCGAGGTGATTATAAAACTGATTTCGTATATTAATAATTTTATAAAGCATATAATAAAAAAATTTCTTGAATAGGTGGTCTACTGATAGGAAAAATCATCAAGAGCTACCTGATGATTTAGAAAAAATTAGGGTGCTAATCGATCAGAAGGCTGGCACACAGGTATGAATTTTAATGTTTAAAAATCGATTTTAGATTAAAATTATATAATTAGATTATTCTTTTGATAAAAATTATATATATTTGTTTTAGTTTGAATGGATGTCATATTCTACTGATGATGTGAGGGCGGTGATCCCACCTGAGTTAAGGGGCCCATCAGATGTTTAGATGGCGATGGTCCCCTTGATCTGTTATACGAGCGTCGAGTGGCACTCCACTGATCGCGTGCTCCGGCAATTTGGTTGTTTTCAACCAATTCCGGAAGCACCTCGCAATATGGACGAGTTGCATAGCACAAATAGACGCGGCAAGACAGACACAGATTGACTGGTGAGGCATCATAAGTGGGTCGTGTTGTGGGAGGATTGACATCGGCGCCTTCCCCGTAGAGAACCCATTTTACTTGACCTCTTGATGGTTGATGACGGTTATTATGAGTGGTTCAACAGTAACGAGAAATTGTTTCTGCTTCCCGAGGATGCACGAGGGTGGACTTTTCCACGACGTCGATAGAGACGTTCACCGACACGACACCATCGTCCCCCGACTCGTAGACGGAGAGCATGTGCTTCTGGTTCATCATCAGCTGCACCAGCAAGACCTTCACAGCAGCCACTGTATCCAGCTACTTACATACCGCAACCATATATGACGCCGCCATCGCCTTTCCATTACCAGATGCCGCCGCCGCCATCGCCTTCACCTGGTTTTATGACCCCGCCACCTCACAGATGATCCCTCCTGGAAGCTACTATAGGTCTATGTTTGCATATCCGACTTGGGGTTCATATACTGGATATTTGGCAGGTTCAGCCTCATCACCCATGGCCGCAGCACAGACACCTCCTGTACAGTTTTCACACTCAGCGATGTCTGGGTTTTATGAGTTTTCGTAGGCCGATAGGATAGTCAGTCATACACCTCCAGGGTCATTATTCTATGGAGGTGCTTCATCGTCATCAGCTCCTCATCAACCTAATGTACCTACTCAGAACGACGACGACGACGACGGTGATAATGATGACAGCGATGAGTCACAACCAGTGATACGAAGAAATCCTCCTCGAGACCGACAACCACCTCCATGCTGAACACATTCGCGTCGCAGGCATCGATAGATTTTGTTTTTTTATTATATTTGTATTTAGTTTATTGGACTTTTTAATTGTAATTTTTTATTATTTCTCATTTAATACTTACTTTATTTTGTTAAATTTGTTGGATTTTTTTTAATGTATTTCAGTTAATTTTGTTTATTACCATTTAATATCAGTTATTGTAATTTGGTTATCATTTACCATTTAATACTTATTGTAAGTTTGTTGTATTTAAAATTATTTTTGAAATACCAAATTGTTATTAGTTTGATAAAATTTAATGATTGTGTTCGATAACTTTCTTAAGTTTGTCACTTATTATCTCTTTTATTATAATCACATACCACGCGCTATATATAATTATGTCAGAGAATTAAAAGTAAGGCGCGACCCCTGACCCGCGCTATACCATACGTGGCGTAAGGCGCGCTCAGGGGCCGCGCTATACCCACGTGTATTCCATGTCAGCATATAGCGCGGTGCAGGGGGCGCCTTACCCCACGTGACGCCAAATCAGCATATACACGGTGCAGGGGGCGCGCTTTACTGCAAATGATTTTAGATCGAGAAATATAGTCTGACCGGTGTTAAATCGGTAAATATACCGGTCACCGGTGATTTTTCGAGAAAAACGCTTGTGTTTGGTTCTAAAGTGCACAATCTTTTTTATATATTAAAATTATTAAAATAAATCTAATAAAAAATTATATTTCATATATTAAATTATAGTCAAGGTAATAGTTAAAACTAAAAATGAGTTTAATATTTTTATTTAATTTTTTTACAATTATTTTTAAATAATAATATATAATTTATATTAAAATTAAAATTATATTACAATTATTTAGGGAATCCAAATCACAAAATAAAATAAGTTTAATATTTTTATTTAAATTATTTTTTACAATTATTTTTAAATAATAATATATAAATTATATTAAAATTATTTAGAGAATCCAGATCATAAAATAAAAATATTAAACTTATTTTTATTTTATTTTTATTTTTAAGTCTTACATTGACTATAATTTAAAATATATGTGAAATATAATGTATTTATTATACACAATATATAAAATATTGTACATTTTAAAACCAAATACATGGCTTTGGTCCAGTGGCAAAAAGCGTCCTAGATTAAAAATTATTTAACTTGATTCAAATCCACCCAAATGTATTTTTATTCCAATATATTTTCCCTTTAGACCGACGGTGACATATGTGACATATTAAAATTAATTAAATTCACTCTCCAATTATATAGTGACATGTGATAGCTCTAGATTGGAGGATTAAATTTATTTAATTAAATTAAAATATTGATTAAATTGATACAATGTATAAAATATTAAGAAAAAATACATAATTATGTCAATTTTATTAATAATAGGTGATTTGATTAAACCATTTAAATAATTTAATAATTTATTTGATCGTTTTTAAACGTTAGTAGTTAAAATAATTGATGACCATAGCTCGGTAATCACTGTGTATTTTACTCTTTGGTAAATAACTCGAATTTCGGATTGTGCGTTTCCCGGGAATGTCACGTGCCGTTGGCTTTCGTAGCGGTAAACATTTTCATAGGGGGATTAAGCAGAGCTGTTCGCATTAACCAACTTAATATTAATCGTGATTTATTTGAAATAGTAAAATTATTATTTGAGCATGAATAAACTTTAATTTATAAATTTTATTTATTTGAGTTATTAATCGACTCACATTAATAATTTCAACTAAATGATTACATAATTACATATTATATCAACATATAAAACTAATTAAATCCAAAATTTCTAAAAAAATAGTAGTCCATTCCACTATTAAAATCACTTAATATATTCATTTAAAATATATAATCTGACCTATTCAAATAA